TCAAATATATTTTTGTTTCATGGAAAATGACCTTCCTTGACTGAAAACATCAGGCAGGGCTGCTGCAGTACGTGGGACCTCTCCACTGCTCCTGTCTGGGGAAGGGGAAGGAGTTTTGGGGGTCAGTCTAGGGTCTTGGACTGAAGCCTCAGTTTTGTTGCTGTTGTTGTTCTGACAATGATATCAGTATGCCAGTGTTAGTTGAAAGAAGGAAATGTTGATTAATATCCACTTACATTACAGCAAGGTTTAAAAAAAACCACTTAATTAGAAATATTCACATGAACTCATGCTCTTAAAATGGACTTTCTTCATCCTGGCCAATATAGTGAAACCCCATCTTTACTAAAAAGTACAAAAATTAGCTGGGCGTGGTGGTATGCACCTGTAGTCCCAGTTACTCGGGAAACTGAGGCAGGAGAATCTCTGGAACCTGGGAGGTGGAGGTTGCAGTGAACCAAGCTCTCTCCACTGTACTCCAGCCTGGGTGACAGACTGAGACTCTGTGTCAAAAAAAAAAAAAAAAAAGAAATTGACCTGGTTCAAAAAAAAAATTGAACTAGGTTCACACCAAAGCCCCTGTAAGTGCTGGCTGCCATTTCTGCTGGAAGGGCAAGGCCGCACCAGGCAGGTGTGGAGGAGACCAGCCCGGTGGGGCTCTCCCTGCTGCAGGGGAGCTATCAGGGTCTGCACAAACCACAGGGCAGGAACCGGAGCAGAGAGTGGCTAGCAGGCCTGAGGAGCTCCCAGATTCCATCTGTTCCATTGATTACCCACCCCCAGAATGGGGGCTTTAAAAGTAGTTTCTGACATACAAACACCTGCTCACACAAATAAATTGTCTGACTAATGAGAGCTACTGTCCTTGACACTCTGGACATTGATGGCACGTCTCTTGGAGCTCCTGAAGATCCAGGCTTTCAGCCCAAGAGCTCACTTCCTCTCACCCTGCTAGACTCAGTGCCACCATGCTCGACTCAGGGGCTTGATGATCCTGACGTGAACACTTAAAGGGAGAAACAGAGGCAGGAGTTCAAGATGTTTCCCCCAGAAGGTGCAGAAATTCCTCCATTCATTTAAAATCATCGAACTCTCTGCCTCCTTGGCACAGTATCATGCCTGGCATCACTGCCAGTGCACAGTATCTGCAGGGAAAAGGAAGGGGGTGTCCAAGTGGTGGGCTTGGAGCTCGACCTGAGCTGGAAAAATACTTATATTACCCCTGTGCAAATGAAGATTTGACTTAAGGCCACCTGGAAGTCAGCAAGGAGGTGGAGGAGACCCATGCCCCTCCCATCTCACCCCACCTGCACCAGGGTACAAGGCCCCAACTTTCAGAGATGGGCTTCTCCCAGTAGCACACAAGGGCCCAGCCCAGTGTTCCAAAAGAGTGGCACTGAGTGTCCAAGCTACGCACTGACCTTGTTCCAAGGAGAATGGCCTCTGGGCTGGAAGGCTGAGATGAATGTATGGAGGGTCATGCCAAAGCCATCCCCTGGAGGAAGGGAAGGGAGTACGGAGCCTGCCTTGCCATTGCCAGATAAGACGTAGTGATGCAGGCTTGTATTTGTGTTGATAAATACCAGTTTCCGAGTGGGTGGTCTCAGTGAGAGTCGAGAGTATTCCAACTAGATCCTGGAATTGCGTTTGTCAAGCTCAAGCAGATGAGAGACCAGCATTGGCTGATGGGCCCTTCCCTGCAGCAGGCATGCCTCGTCCTCTTCCTGCACTTCATCCACAAAACAGCTGCGGTGATGCATGCACTGTCCACAGCTGCGCAGAGCCCCAGGCCAAAAGCTTCCAGGACTTCCAGTCTAGATTCTCTCTCCTGCACCCTCCCTGCTTTGTAAATCCTTTCTTAGTCTGCCCTGGAGTTGACAGTCAGTGGGAGGAGCACAGAGAGTGAGGCTGTAGGAAAAGAAAGAATCAAAAGGGAGAATTTAAGAGGGGTCCTTGAATCTACGTAATTCACGAGCTGAGCGAAATATAACCAGCTCCCTGTATCCTCGGGTTCCTCATCCGTGGGTTCAACCAGCTGGGGATTAAAAATATTGAAAAAGCAAACAAGAAGAAATGGCACAACATTAAAAACTATATACTAATTGTATATAGACATTATTAAGTCCACACACATGTGCATCCTTCCACAAGGTCAGACTTTTGCTGATGTTGTTTCAATCATAAAAGCCACGAGCTGCATGGAGCTCCCAAGGAAGCTGTTCCCCTTGGTACCACCCATTCACTCCGTGGTCAGAGCCACGGGCACACAGGCTCAAGCCACTCCCCAGGTCAGTCAGTATCGAAAACCATACATCATAGTATACCTAACGAGCATATAAACGTTATAGATTAAACATTCCACAACCAACAAAGTAACATTTAATATCAAGGGGAAAGGGGTAGGGAAAAGGGTTAATGAAGCAGCGTAGGAAGAGCAATGTGAACACAGAACATCCTGGCCTGATCTGGGCGATCTGTCAGCATCTTGCAAGGAAGAGTCTTGGACGTGGGCAGAGCCTTCAGTGGTGGATGCCGGGTGCTTATCACAAATGACGGCAAGACAGCGTCTATTAAGTCAGCTGTTTTGAGCTGCTGAAGTCCTCCTGATTTTGTGGCCACAGAGTCCTCTGGTGAGGACCGACCATAGAAGAGTGTGCTTGGTTATGTCTTTGTCTGATTAAACGCAGTCGTTATTGATTAGGTGAAACATTTGGTGCCTGTTGGCACAATGCCTTTTGAAATCTAAGAAGGAGCCTTTTTCTAGGATGGAGTTACTTATGTCAAGGATGCTCTAGAATAGGGAGAAAAAAGAAAACCCTGTACAATATTTTAAAGAAGTCTATCCTGAGCCAATGTACATGACCATGGCCTGGGGAACAGTCTCAAGAGGACCTGAGAAAGTGCACCTGAAAAGGTGGGGTTACTCTCTAAGTGGGGGATTTATGTGTCACAGCTGTGTTTTAGGGATTCTTTGTTTTTTTTTTTTTTTTTTTGAGATGGAGTTTCATTCTTGTTACCCAGGCTGGAGTGCAATGGTGTGATCTCGGCTCACCACAACCTCCGCCTCCTGGGTTCAAGCAATTCTCCTGCCTCAGCCTCCCGAGTAGCTGGGATTACAGGCACGTGCCACCATGCCCAGCTAATTTTTGTATTTTTAGTAGAGACAGGGTTTCACCATGTTGACCAGGATGGTCTTGATCTCTCGACCTCATGATCCATCTGCCTCGGCCTCCCAAAGTGTTGGGATTACAGGCGTGAGCCACCGCGCCCGGCTAGGGATTCTTTAATCAGCAGTGGGTTGAATGACTTAAGCGTTGTGTACAGATGAAGTCAGCAAAAGGAATGCTTAAGTTCAGGAGGTCAGCTCTCTGGCATGTGATGCTATACTGTGTCAGATTGGAAAATAGCTCCATTATACCAGGCTAATAAAACCCCCTTTAATGAGATATTACAGTTTGTAGGGCACAGCGTTTACCATGCATGGCCTTAGGTCGTGTTTATAATTTGGTTGTCTTATTGTGACAAGCAGTCTATTTTGTCAGTCTTATGATCTCTGTTTTAACCTCAATGCTGGTCACTTGTCCCTAAATTCCAAAGGGAGGAGGAATGAGAAGGTGTGTTCAACCTCCCCTCCTGTGAGAGCTGGGACTTTAGTTTTTCAGGTTTCTCAGGAGTCGCCTTGGCCAAAAGCAGGTCCATTCAGTTGGTTCAGGGGCTTAGGATCTTATTTTTAGTTTGCAGTTTAAAATCAATACAGTATAACAACTCTATACATATCATTTACATTGTACTAAGTGTTATACGTAGTATAGAGATCAATTAAAGTATACGGAAGGATGTGCAAGTACTATGTCATTTCATATAAGGGGCCTGAGCATCCAAGGATTTTGGTATCTGCAGGGGGCCCTGGAACTAGTCCCCCTGGAACTGAGGGACAGCTCTAATGCTGAGAAACTAAACTGGCTTGGAAAGGGGGGAGACCCAGGACTTGAGTCTGCCAAGGAGCTGAACCCAAGAGCAAGAGCTGTGGGCAGCTGGGCTGGAGAGGAGGAAGCGGGTGGCTTTGTTTCCAACTGCCCCAGAAGAACCCCTCTCCCGGTGCAGTCCCCAGCTTACTTTCCTTCCTCCACTCCTCTTGGGAGGTGGCCAGGGACACAGGTCAGTGCCTGGCTCAGAGGAAGACACCTGCAGTTTGTGGACGGGTCTTGGGATGTGGATACACAGAGTCTTGTGTACCTTCCTTGTGAGCGGGGTGTTGCCCGCTCCAGTGCCCACTCCCTAATCCTCCCTCTTCTTCCTCCTCAATCCTCTCCTGCAGGTAGGGGAGGAGGAGGAACCCCCTCAGAAAGGAGAGCAGTGACTCTGGGTTTGCCTAGGGCTAGGGCTAATGGCCTCTCACCGACCTATGCCCTTGTACCTGTTGCCCCGGCAAACACTGATTACATCAGCTTTGATTTCTCATGGGTGGTCAGCCTTGGGTGTCTGCCAGAATGAAAAGAGCCTGGAGCAAGGACATGGGAATCTGAATCTCAGGTGAGGTCCCAGGACCACTACGTCCTTCTTCCCTGTGTCTCTCCTCCCCAGCATGAGCACAGCAGCCTGATGGAAAAGGATGCTGCAATGTTAGAAAGAACGTTGGAAAGAATGACTGCAGCCTCTCTCCACCATTGACAGGGGTGCTAGAAGTGAAAAGATGCGTTCCAGGCTGTAGGCAGGTAGACAGCAGAGCCAGACTGAAATTCACTCCTCCTGATTTGGAGTTTAGAGCTCTTCTGTGGCAACACTTTGATGAATAAAATCATGAGTTCTGTGTCTTTCACAAGGAGCAAACCCTGGTCTAACTCATTCTTCTCAATCCCCTCCAATTCACCACCCTGCAGCCTAATTTCTCTATAACCAGGCATTAAGCCAAGGCACTTGGGGAACCTAGTGCCATCCTCTGAACTTGGAGCCAACTGACCTTTGTCCCTGGGGCAGAGACGTGGTCCATGGACCCAATCCATGTCCTCAAAGGGAGAGCAGATCTGAGCCCTCATCCTCTGAAGTGAGAAATCTCATCTCTCACTACAGACCTGCAGGGCCCAGGAGAGCTCGACCCACCCAGGCACACTACAGCAGCAGAAATGGCTTGGGACACAAGAGTATGGAAGCAGATGTTTCAGGAGTTAATGCGGGAGGTGAAGCCATGGCACAGATGGGCCCTGACGCCAGACAGGGGCCTTCGTCCTGACGTCCTGAAGCCAGGGTGGATGCAATACCAGCAGTGGACCTCCGCCAGGTGAGGGGGAACGCAATGGCACACATTCCAGAAAATCCTTCCGCATTTCTTACTAGGTTTACCTGTTATTTTCTTGTTCCATTCCATGCTTGCAAATTGAAGACTGTGGGAAGTAAGATGCCCATCATCCAAGAAGTTTTAACTTCATTAAAGACTGTTTTTTACAGCCGGGCATGGTGGCTCACACCTGTAATCCAAGCACTTTGGAGGCCAAGGTGGGTGGATCACCTGAGGTCAGGAGTTCAAGACCAGCCTGACCAACATGGTGAAACCCCGTCTTTATAAAAAAAAATTTTTAAAAAAAGGCTTTTTTCACTATTAAAATGAACCCCCAAATAAGAGCAGGCCTGAACACCATTGAGAGCTAATGCCTGGATACAGAGAAATCAGTCTGTGGGGGTGGGGACAGGGAGTAGCCAGGAAAGGGGAGGGGAGGAAGGGCAGCTGTTGCACCCATGGGGCAGCACATGTGCTCCCTGCCAAGGGAGACTCCCGGGCCCATCATGGAGCCCCTAGGAGGAGTGACTCACAGCACAGAGGAGACCCCATGGGGGAGGCTGGAGGAGCAGGAGGCCTGGGCAACAGGCAGCAATCCTGCCCCTCTCAACTCTGAGCTGAGAGAATCTCTTTAAAATAGGAGTCAGAAATCATCCTAAGTCTGATCCTCTGTTTTCCAGGTGGGAATGGGGAGCCCTAAGGCTTGGGAGGGTGAGGGGGGTGACTACCCACAGTGCACAGAGGGTGAAGGCAGGGCACTCTGTCCCACCTGCTGCCCCCTCCTGAGGAGAGTCTACACAGAGGGAGCAGAGCTCTCCCTCTGGCTTATGGTTTTCCCAGGCCAGGAGCTGCCATAGGGACCATTGCACCAAAGTCTCAGTCCATGTATCTGTGGGAAGTTTGAACTCCGAGCCAGCACAGAAGCAGAGCACTGAGACCCAGGGGATGGCAGTGGACTTCTGCTCCGCAGGGCCCAGGCCCCTCTGCATTGCTGACTATGGGTGGCTGCCACCAAGGTGCTCTCGCAGTGGTCACAGCTTCTTGGCCTCTTCCTCTCACTTCAACCTCGCATTCACCCTGTGAGGTGCTGCTAGAGTCAAGGAGCAAACCCTGGTCTAACTCATTCTTCTCAATCCCCTCCAATTCACCACCCACAGCACGATTTCTCTGTAACCAGACATCAAACCAAGGCTAAGCTCAGCTACAGTGACACATAAACCTGGTAATATCACTGATATAACCTTACATGTGGCCTCCAAGGTCACCAAGGCCGAGGAAGAGACAGCTGGAATGTCTTAACAGGGCTTCTGTGAGCAGATCTGGAAGGAACATTTATCACTGCTGGCTTCACCTCATCGGCCAACTGGTCCCAAGGCCACAACCTCACTGCAAAGGGGCTGGGAAGTGGGAGGGAGTGCATGGATAATTTGGTGAGGACGAAATGTCACACTTTGCAGCCCTCTGCCTCTCCCACGATTCCTCCCCTGGGTGCCGCCATGTGCTTCCTGCCTTCTCACTCTACCTCCTAACATGTATCTGTCCAGATACCTTAGCTCAGAAAGCTGCCCTCCTCCTTGCTGAGACAAGGTATCATTCCCTTGTACCCTGTCTGAAGCCGGTGGCATTCAAAATATGAAGTTTTCCAGGCTACCTCAAGCAAAGGGGTTGGAGGGGAAACACATGGAGAGAGTTGGACACTGTGATCTCCCTGCAACACTGCGGACCGGGAACCTGGGGTGGCCAAGGGAAAGGCAAAGGCTTTTCTCTAGGAACACCCTGGCCCCTTCAGGCTCCCGCCGCCAACCCATGAGTCTATAACTTAATCAACACCCACTTGTATGCATTTGTGGATTTCAGGGTTCTGAACTGAATTGGCTGCTGTTGCACTTGTGGCCTCTGTCCTATTTGAAGAAGCTTTGCTTTGTAATCAGGAGTCCAGAGTCCTAGTCATGCCTTTTACACCCACCAGGTCTCTGGACAGGAGGAGTTTCCAGAGTGTGCCTCACCCCCAAGATGAGCATGTTGGACTTAGGCAATGCCCAAGATCCCTCCCAGCTCTGCCAGCTTGTGGTTCACTGTTTTCATAGCAGACACTGTGGGGCATGCAGCACGTGGATGGCATGATGGAGACGGGAACGAGGTCTTAGTAATTTCTTCCACCACTGAGCCACAGCCCCAGTCAGGTCATGTCTCTGTGCGGTTGGTAGGTCCTTTCTCTGGCGGCACCCATGATGTGGCCACGTGGAGCCAGGCTGAGGCTCTCTTCTGTCTCCACAGGTTCCAGTGTTCCTCCTGCTCTCGCAATTGGAACTCTAGCCAAGTTCTGGTCCTTTTCCACATGCACTGGAGTGAGGAGAAGTCCAGGGGCCAGGTGAAGATGAGGGTGTTTACCCAGGGATGTAAGAAGTGCCCCCAACCTCTGTTTGAGGCCCCTGAGTTCACGCAAGAGAACACCTCAAGGGTCCTGAAAAACCTGGTCTTCCAAATTCTGAAGAAATGCTATAGAGAAAGATTTCAGTTGACAGAGGAGGTTCCTGTGATCAAGGACATCTCTCTGGAAGGGTCCCATGATAGTGACCACTGTGAGGCATGTCTGCAGGGTTTCTGTGCTCAGCCCTTACAGGTTATGAACCTCCCCCAATCTTGGACCCCAAGAGTATACTCCATTTACAACGTGGAGGAGGGAGTCGAGCCCTGGCCCTCAAGAGAGAATGATTGTTCCAATGTATGCCAGAACCACACCTGTAGGAACTTAAGCATTTCCTGCTTAAGTTGTGTCATTCTCATTGTTATCGTGATCATTGTTGTAAAAACTACTATATGAGCCTTGGAAACACGATGCCAAGTGGAAAAAAAATCAGATGCAAAAAGTCACATGTTGTATGATTTCATTTTTGTGAAATGTCCAGAATAGGTAAATTTATTAGATGAATTGCTAGCAGGGCCTGGGGAAAGCGGGAGACGGGAAGAAACTATTTAATCCTGAGGGGGTTCCTTTTGCAGGGGAGAGTGTTGTGATGCAGATGTTTTGGGCTGAGACAGAGGTGTGGTTGCACAACACTGTCAATGCAGTAAATGTCATTGAACTGTTCGCTTTCAATGATTAATTCTGTGATGTGACTTTCACATCAATTTTTTTTTAAAAGACCTTTGCAATTGTGTTCACTCTCAAGAGAACTGAGTCTGAAGTGTCTGTGGTTCATAAACCATTTGGAAATCTCGTGAAGCCCTGTGGGTCCCCTCAACAAGGAATTTTGCACAGATACTCTGAGGTCAGACTGCAAAGGCTTTTGAAGTCAAAAGCATTGGAGTGAAAACCTGGGTTCTCCAACACTGGTCTCCGTGGAGGGAGGTGTGCAGGCCACTGATGGGTGAGGGCAGAATGTGCCACCAGGTCTTTCTTTTTAAAGATAATGTAATTGGTGTAAATTGTTGGTTAACAGGGAACTCACAGCCAATAGCACCATAACCCAGGCCTGAGGGAAGCTTCTCTAATACACATATTCTCTCCATAAGGCTCATCATGACCTTCTCACTCTTAGGAACACCAGAAAGCACTCTGCACTATGCTCAAAGCCCATTTGAAACAGCAAAATCACCGACAGAAGCACAAAAACGTGAAACACATGGCAAAATAGATCAGGAGAAGCACACTTGTTTACAGCAGAAGAGCTGGAACAAACAGGCAGGGAACACACAGGCCCTGCTCCGGCTGGGTTGGGAACACAGGTGCTGGTGACTCCCATTTCCCCTGCTCTGCACAAGTCTGTGAATGACCACAAACATACCGTGAGAACTGGTTTCAGCGTGTAGGGGTTACTAATAGATTTCAGCAGGTAGGCAAAATCACAAATAGACTCCATGAATAATGGGGCTGACCTGTGCATTCTCAAATGACTTTGAACTGTGAATGACTCTGTTTCACTAACGCACGCGGTCCACATGTGGAGTTCCCACGTGAGGGCCGCCAGCTTGAAGCTCTAGGATTCCTACCAGCTAACCAGGATTTTTCATGTTCAGAAGGCAGGGTCTCAGAAACTATTTGCTCCTTAGACCACATCCTCCCAGTGACTGAACTGAAGCTGAGATTTTTCTTCGTGCAATTGAACAAAGGATTGCCTTTCTGAAAATTCCATTGAAAGATGGATGTGAGGGGGCATAGTACTTGGCTAGACAGAATGTTCTGATTTTAAATATTCCGGATGACCATAAAAATCAATCACTTCTAAGGAGATGCCTAATTTCTAAAGAAGTAATTGAAGTCTATAGAGACAATACAGCTGAAGTCTTAAACAAACATTTTGTTCCCTCGGATGTTTTTGTTTAGTAGAAGATGACCTTTCTCGACTGAGAAAAACCAGGCGGGAGCTGCTTCTCTGTGAGACCTCTCCACCATTCATGTCTTGGGAGGGAAAGGATTTGAGGTCGGTTCAGGATCTTGAACCAAAATCTCGTTTTTTTTGTTGTTGTTTTTATGACTATATATATATATAATATATATATATATATATATATATCAGTATTTCTTTTTTTATATTATTCTATTTTGAGAAGAAGTCTTGTGCTGTCACCCAGGCTGGATTATAGTAGCAGGATCTTGGCTCACTGCAGCTTCCGTCTCCCAGATTCAAACAATTTTCCTGCCTCAGCTTCCCGAGCAGCTGGGATTGCAGGTGCATGCCACCACGCCCAGCTAATTTGTGTGTTTTTAGTAGAGACAGGGTTTCACCATGTTGGCCAGAATGATCTTGATCTCCTGACCTTGTGATCCGCCTGCCTCTGCCTCCCAAAGTGCTGGGATTACAGGGTAAGCCACCGTGCCCAGCCTAAAATTTACTATTTCTTATTGTATGTTTTTATAATGTATGCAAATATATTAGAATAATGGTATGCGTAAGTCCTCAGAGGATGCATGAATAACAAATATACACACATTTGAAGTGCATCCTCAATTTTGTTTTAAACTTGTGCAGTCAAAAACATTGGGACCGACATCATTCTCAGCAAACTGACACAAGAGCAGAAAATCAAACATCGCATGTTCTCACTCATAGGCGGGTGTTGAACAATGAGAACACATGGACACAGGGAGGGGAGCACTACACGCTGGGGTCCGTTGGGGGGAAATGGGGGAGGGACGGGGAGGTGGGGAGGTGGGAAGAGGTAGCATGGGGAGAAATGACAGATACAGGTGAGGGGAAGGAAGGCAGCAAACCACACTGCCATGAATGTACCTATGCAACAATCTTGCATGTTCTTCACATGTACCCCCAAACCTAAAATGCAATTAAAAAAAAAAAAGAAAGAAAGAAACACTGAGGACTCCCACCCTAAAAGAGCAAATGTGGAGGTCTGTGGACAGATTCTTACCAGGTGTATTCGTCCATTCTCACGCTGCCATGAAGAAACACCCGAGACTGGGTAATTTATAAAGAAAAGAGGTTTGATTGACTTACAGCTCTGCATGGCTGGAGAGGCCTCAGGAAACTTACAATCATGGTGGAAGGCACTTCTTCACAGGGTGGCAGAAGAGAGAATGAGTCCCAAGCAAAGGGGGAAAAGCTCCTTACAAAACCATCAGATCTCGTGAGAACTCACTATCACAAGAACAGCGTGAAGGTAACCGCCCCTATAATTCAATTACCTCCCACTAGGTTTCTCCCATGACACGTGGAGATTATGAGAACCACAATTCAAGATGAGATTTAGGTAGGCACACAGTCAAGGCTTATATCACCAGGACTCTGAAACCAAAGCAGTCTTTTGAACACATTCTGTCCTGATTAATGAAATTAATTTTTAAGACTCCTCACACCTTTTTAAATCTAGAAATGCGAATTCTTCCATTTATGCAATGGAAATTAGTGTAATAGTCACAGCCAATAACTTCTTTTTACTCACCCCCATCCCCATCCCTGTCCTCTTCTCATCTGCCCCCACCGTCAACTGGAGTCGTGCCTTGCCTGTACCCTGCAGCTCCCTCTGGGGCACGTTGCATCCCACGTTGCCCTTCCGGAGTGTCATTCTGGCAGTTCACATCTCCCACCTGTCCCCTCAAACCACACCTGCAACCATGCCTTGGATAATTTTTCTTTCCCACTCCTGGCTTTTGCTCACAAATTCCCTCTGCTTCTTCTTAGCTACTCAAGAGACCACATCCATCTTTTAATCCCCTGCTGGAGCGCCAGTATCCCTGTGATGCCTCCTTTCATCTACCTGGTGACAGTTTCATTCTGCTAATGCTGGTTGTCCCATACCCCCTGTTCTATTCCACCCAGTTCTAGGGCTGACTGGCTTCCTAATGAACCAGGAGCATCTGAGGCAGGGCCTGGTTCCCCTCACCTCTCCCTGCTTCCCAACCCAGGTTGGAGCCTCTGCACAGCTGTGTGAGCTAAAGGAAGGCTGTGTGCTGAGTGAGCCTACCACATCTGGACTGAGCACTGCTGGGCTCTCTGCATGCCATCTGGCCACGAACAGCTTCGAAATGAAAATGGTGTTTTCCACTTTACCCATTTGCCATTTTTCTCCTCATGTGTATTAATCACCCATTAGGGCGATCCTAGCTTGCTCTTTGGCAAAGGACACACTTGTTTCTGAAACTGAAAAAAGATGTGTCTTTAATTCATGTGGAAGAATGAGTGACCAAAACTTGATAAACAAGTCAGGAAAAAATGACCACAGGTGAGCTTTGCCTTAGCAGACATCACCACTGTGGTCATCAGCATACAGAGTGCTGGCTCAGGGACAGGCAGCTCTGCAGAGCAAGCTGGGTGAAGGCCAAGGCCAGCTGGAGGCGACTTCCTATGCTTGGAGAGGGGTGAGAGCACCCAGCTGGGCAATTTGGCTTGGTTTTAGACATCATTAGGACCCACCCGAAGCTGGGGCGTACTTCACATTTGCTCTTACTCATGGGTTGTGTAGCCCATGCTGGCGAGACCACTAATCCTAGGGCGAGGTTTTCTGTGGTCTCACCTGGAAGCTGGGGGACGGGCGGGGGCGGGGTGGGGGGATGGTAAAACACCAGCCCTGCCCCCATACACACTCCCTACAAGGCATTCGCTCCCATTTCTGACTTCCCAGCACAGCATGGTGGCCAAAATTCCCATGCAAGGCTTTAGCCTCCCACAGACTGGCTTTGTTTTCCCTCAAAACAGCACATCTTGGTAATCAGCCAATGAAGGAAAAATTGAATGCAGCATTTTGAGCCTTTTCCCTTCAATTCCTTTCTTTCTGGGATTTTGCCTTTAAATTCCAGGCACCTAGGCAGCCTCAAATTCTGACTCCTGTCTCCTCAGTTCAGTGAAATCATCACTTTCTGCTTTGTTTTATTTCCTGGGCTGCAATTCAGAAACCCTTCAAGTAAACTGGGGCACGTGGGGCCTGCCCAGCTCCTCCAGAGGACGGGCTGCTCGAAGCCTGCCCATGCTGTTGCTCTCCAGTGCTTTTCACCCTTGGTTTTCTTGGTTTTGCCTAGCTTTTATAGCTATTTTTGGTGATAGGAAGGCTCCAAGCCTAGCTACTCTGCAGTGGATGGAATCAGAAAGAATTTTGGAGTTGTTATTCCAAAATCTCAATAGAAATGTCAAATTTCTCACATACAGTCAAGGCTACTGCCTTCTAAAATGAGAGTGGAGGTGAACACTAAGCCAGCTGACTTAGAGAATTTCCTTCCTCTTGTACACACATCACCTTCATTTTGGCAGTGCTATCTAGTAGAGTTATGGCATGTCAGTCACATAGGCAACATAAATGTTTTCAGTGGTCACATGAATTTTTCTTTTTTTTTTTTTGGTAGAGACAGGTCTTGCTCCATCACCAAGGCTGGTCTTGAACTCCTGGCCTCGAGCAATCCTCCTGCCTTAGCCTCCTGAATT